TAGCTGGGTGCTGGCAGGCTTGCACCTGGCACGGGCATCGTAGCCAGCCCATGCCCCTTTAAGGGGTCTGGGGCCGGGAGGGGGGCAGTAGAGTTTCCCTGATGTTGGCCAGAGTGGCCACCAGGGAAAGCTGGGGAGGGTAGCCTCCCACTAGTTCGAATTAAGGGGCTACACACTAGGCTTAGTCCTCGTAGAATGAGGTTTACCTAGTTCGAACTAAGCGCTCCACTAGTTCGAATTAAGTTTGAACTAGCGGAGCGCTAGTGTAGCACCTATCAAAGTTAATTCGAACTAATGTCCGCTAGTTTGAATTAACTTTGTAGTGTAGACATACCCTAGGAGATTCAAGGACACTGGGGAAAAATGTTGAGCTGCATTCATTACACCTGCTGATGAATGGTGCAGTGTGCACTTATAAGTGTGTGCTCCAAGAGGAATAGGAATTCAGGGCCCTGTCACACCTCAGCCTATGGAATGAAGACCTAGGGCTGCCTAATCTCAAGTGCACCTATATGGTGGCACTCACAATTAAGCTCTTAACATAGGTAGATATTGTGCTATGCAATATCTTACTTGAGAGTCTCTTAAAACACCTCCTTTTCAAAATGTCACCCCCACTTTACAAGAGCTCTTGAGCTTGAACTACAATCTAGGGTTTCTTTTGAATAGCCTATCAGATGTTTTAATTTTTTCTAACAGAGACTTTGTCTTCTGTCTTACTAGATTGCTCTTTAATGAAGAAACATCAGAGCTGCTAAAAATAACACAAACAAGGACTCAAGAATTTTGTGACCAATGATGTGGTCGTCATGGAGACTGATTCTTTTTCTCTCACTCACTGGGTGTCTTTCAGGTAAAAAAACAACAACAAAAACTCGTGTAAATGTTTTAAGAATATCTGACCAATACAAAATGGAAATATAAATGCAAAATTACTTCACAGAAAAACGAACAAGCCATGTCAATTAGCATTATACCAACAACTATTAATGTTATCAACCCATGTATAAATACTGTAATTGCTTAATACAAAGTGGAACAACTGTTGGCCATTTGCCATATATCTTAATGTTACCTAGGTTTACTTCTAATTTTTAAGGAAGAATGGAAGAGATGGTCACTTGTCCATTCACAAAAGATTACCCTAATTTCTACAGCTTTGGGGAGAAAAATCTGCTTCAGAGTTAATTGAGCTAGCAAACTGCTTTGAAAGAGCTCATAACTGCCGCATCATTTTGTGATTCTGGGCTATGAAATTCTCAGACTCTAACCATGTTCTGAATCTGGAAACTAATTATGGAGTTGATTTTTCTTTCTAAAATGATGTGTGTTATATTGATATACACTAATGATTCTGTTTTTGCCTGCAAGAATATTCCTTTTGAGCTTTTATTCCTTTGGCTTTAACTTAGTACTGTCTTTTAAAGTAAACAAATTGTGTTGCTTTGTATTCAATAATCGTTTAATCTTTCCATGTGGGGATTCCTGTAATTTGATATTACACTCTCCAGAATTGATCTTTCATCTGCCCCTAGCTTTATCTTCTTTCAGCTTCCCAGTTTCCAGAAATTGATTTTTTTCAAAGTATTTTTATTTATCTGCCTTCATTTGCAATAACTAAAGCTGAAACAGTCAAAATATTATGGGTTGGATCCTTTATGCAAGAAATGCTTCTTTATACAACTTGTTGTTCTAGCTTCAGGTTAATAATAACAATATCTAGCTTTTACATAGCATTTTAATAAATAAGATTAGGCTCCATTTTCTGGAAATATAAGTCCCTGAACAGCTTCACAAATGTCCTAATCTTGATGTACCATTCATGTCTTGATTGCACTGTGAGCTCTCTGTCTTTTTTCAGTGCTTCCCCTTTTGTCATATGCTAATTCACCAAATTACCCTCTTCTCATTCAAATACCCCACAAAGCAATTATTCTAGAATACCTGCAAGCATCAGTTAGTAATAATAGTAAGTAAAAGACAATAGACACCTTCCCTGTCCCCGATAACATTGTCTTGGGTACTGTAGAACATAATATGTTTTTATACATTTATTAGGGGGAGAATACACAATATAGCCCCTATATAGTCCTTCGCTTCCTGGGTTTCCTGCTACAGATTGTAAACTTGTTGGAAAAAGGAACTGTATTTATTTTTGTGTCCTATATAGCAGATTGTCTGTTTTTAGTAAGTAATGTTTGTACTCCAGTGATTCCAAGAATAGTCCTCCATTGCGGTGGTTCTCAACTTTTTCAGACAACTGTATTCCTTTCAGGAGTCTGGTTTATCTTGCAAATCCCAGGATTTACCTCACTTCAGCTTCAGGCCCATGCATTGGTGCTTAGATTTCAACTTTTTTCCCTGGGGGCCAACAAGTCTAACACTGGCCATGGTGATCCCATAAAACAATCTCACCCACAATTTGAGAAACACTGCTTTGGATATAGATCGATGTAAAAAATCATTGCATGAAATTTTAGCTTGCACTGACTTTGCTAACAACAAACAGTGTTGTGGTACGTTAGGACATGTCTACATGAAGAAATGGTATTGAAATACCTAAATTTTAAATAATAACTCCTGAAATAACTATTTTTAAATAAGCATTTTCCTCATGGAAAGCAGGAGTTATTATTTTGAAATAATCAGCTTATTATTTCAAAATAACAGGCTTGGTAGTGTGGATGCTCCACTTACTATTTCAAAATGAGGGTGTAGACCAGGGTTTAGAGACTAACAAATTTGTTAGGCCATGAGCTTCTGTGAGTAAAAACCCACTTCATCATATGAGTTGGAGTCTAAGCTCATGACCTAATAAACTTGTTAGTCTCTAAAGTGCTGCAGGACTGCTCATTGTCTTTAAAGTTACAGACTAACATTGGTGCCCTTCTGTGACTTTGCTAGTTTTTTTAATGTGGCCTAATGTAAAATTAGAGAAAATCTAGATGAGTTGATTTATCCCTGGAAGATCTCTGAATACCCCAAAGGGTACATGCACCCCTGGCTGAGAATCACTGGGAAACTTCACTAAAACAAAAGGAAAAACTCTGTAGCACTTTAAAGACTAACAAGATGGTTTAATAGCTTTCATGGGCCTGACCCACTTCCTCAGATCATACTCTGGAAGAGAATTGGCATGACCATATATTCCAAAGGAATACAATGAAAAAAGTGAACACATTATTAAACTGACAAATCAGATTTAGTACAGAAGGTGGGGTGAGGGAGAGGGAAGGAAGAAGGGAATAGCTATTTATGAGTCAATGAATGGCTAATTAGGGGTGATAAGTGGGGAAGCTATCTTTGTAATGGGTAAGATAATTATCATCTTTGTTAAGGCCATTTGTAAAGTGTCAAATTTAAGCATGAATGAAAGTTCTGAAGTTTTCCTCTGTAATCTGGTGTTAAAGTCTCTTTGAAGTAAGATGCATGTAGTAAGGTCGTTAAGACTCTGTCCAGGTAAGTTGAAATGAAAAGCAACTGGTTTTTCCTTGTGAAGATATCTGATGTCTGATTTGTGGGCTAATTCTTTGACAAAGTGTCTGAGAAGTCTGTCCAATATACATAGCAAAAGGACACTGTTGGCACATGATGGCATATATTATATTTCTGGATGAACAGGAATATGTGTTCTTGATCATATAACTGACATGGTTAGGTCCAGTGATGGTGTCACCAGTAAATATGTGGACAAAGTTGGCAATGGGTTTTGTTGTAAGAGAAAGTTCCAGGGTTGGTATTAATGTAGTATGTGCTGTGGTTGTCAGTAAGAATTTTCCTGAGATTAAGAAGTTGTCTATAGGAGACTATGGGTCTGTCCCCCAGAGCCTCTCGGATTGTAGTATCCTGTTCCAATTTAGGTTGTAGGTTATTGATAATGTGTTGGAGGTGTTTAAGTTGGGGGCTATAGGTGATGACAAGTGGTGTTCTATTGTTGATTTTCTTGGGCCTATCTTGAAGTAGATGGTTTCTGGGTATTCGTCTGGCTCTTTCAATTTGTTTTTTTATTTCCCCTGGTGGGTAATTGAAATTTACAAATGCTTGGTTGAGATCGTGAAGTTTCTGGTCTTTGTCAGTGGGATTGAGCAGATGTGGTTGTACCTAAAGGCTTGACTATAGATGATGGATCATATGGTATATCCTGGATGGAAGCTGAAGGCATGTAGGTAAGTGTAGCAGTCAGTGGGTTTTCTGTAGAAAGTGGTATTTAATTTTAGTGATTTGTACTGTGGTGTCGAGGAAATGGATCTCTCATGTTGAATGGTCCAGCCTGAGACTGATGGTGGAGTGCAGGTTGTTAAAGTTTCTGTAGAATGTGTCCAGTGTTTCTTCACTTCCCTGTGAAAAAATTCACTGTGATTTTTCTATTTGTTTTTACTATAAACATTTTATACAGCTTTTAAACCCAAAATTCAGAGCACTCTTTGGAAATCAGTAATTAGACACAAGAATTTCTGATGTAAACACTGCATCTTCAGCCTTTCAAATTATATGAAAGTCACAGTTAAGAAGCCAGTTTTTGGCACAATGTTACTGCACAGTGACATCTGCGTCCCTGACGCTGCAGCAGACTCCATGTGGATGGGATCCCTGTGCTCACGTAAAGTTCTACTGTAGTTGATGAGCATATACACAGATAACGGGGTTAGCTGGTCACAGTCAAGTGCAGAACTGGGGCATTAGACCCCACAGCCATTCGTTACACTACAACCTTTTCATACTGACCATTGTCACAGATGACACCATTCCATCAGAAGAACTCTGAAGCTAATTTGAACACAAATAAAGAAATTATCTCAACAGTTTGTCTCACCAATTCCCTGTTCAGATACATATTAAACTAAGATGAAAAACCATTTAAATATAAGCAATGACAAATGTTTTTCAAACATTGATTCAAAAAGTCTTAAATGGAGTTTGAAATACTCCAGGGTATTCTGAATATTAGTTTAGCTAAAGAATAACACACTGAAAGCACTTGCCAATCAGACAGACAGTATATTTTATTATCTATTCTCTCTCTCATTTTTATTCAATAGTTATTCCTGTCAGGTATTTGAAACCCTGCTTTTATCCATCTCTGCTTTGTTATCTAAATCCCAATAAATTATTGTTTTAGTTGTTTAAGGATTATTACATATTATGTTAGCGTTCAGTATCTGAATCATTTTTACTTCAAAACCATTCTTCATATGTCATTACAAATAATGTAGAGCAACACATCTTTCTCACAAATGCATTAGATGATTGTCACAATAACTGCCGCATCTTCAGGTGATACTTAAGTAACATCTCATCTGGAAACATAATATGATATGAGCTTTATATTAATCAGAGATGATAAGATTCAATTCAAACCTGATAGGATCAGGTTGTCAAAGTAAGTTGTAATTCTAATAATACACAGTGAGAGTTCCTTTTGACATTTAATCCCATAATTCTCCAATTACAGTTGTTGTTATGTCATTGCAGTCGCTGAAGTACATTTGCTCTTGCAAATACTTTCGGCTATTGATTTTGTTCAACATGGTCTACTAAGTTAAGTGCTTTAGAATTTTATTTGAAATATTTTCAAAGCCGTGTTAGTCTGAATCTGCAGAAGCGATGAGGAGTCCTGTGGCACCTTATAGACTAACTGAAGTGTAGGAGCATAAGCTTTCGTGGGCAAAGACCCACTTCGTCAGATGCATGTAGTGGAAATTTCCAGAGGCAGGAATAAATATGCAGGCCAGGATCAGGCTGGAGATGACCAGGTGGATCCAATCAAGGAGGATGAGGCCCACTTCTAGCAGCTGATCTGGAGGTGTGAATTCCAAGAGAATAGAAGCTGCTTTTGTAGTTAGCAAGCCATTC